AATAAGTTATATAAACTAGAGATATTAAATATTATTATATATAGGTTCTAGGCAAAGTCTAGGTATAGCGTATACTTAATTACGTTAAGTAGATAGTTAAGTAGTTATACGCTGTAGAATCTACTTAAGAAAGTATATATTATATTAAGACCTTTATTATATTAGTAATTACGCTATTAACGCTTTTATAATATAGTTCTTCTAATTATATATACTAGACGTAGTTTCTAACATAGTCTAGATAGTACTATTCTTAATCTAGCGCGCTTATAGCACCTATATTATATTTAGTCTACACTTTATTATCTACGTCTACCTAAACTTATTTATTATTACCTTCTTACTATTAAGTACACTAGTGTTTATAAGCGTTGCTACGCTAAAGCTTACACTAACTAGGTACTTAAGTAAAGTAAAGCGCATCTTAATAAAGTCTACTACTCTAGTATTATTATTTTAGTCTAGAGTTATAATACTAAGCCTACTAGAAATAAAGAGAATATTAAGCGCTAGCGCGTTCTTAAAGTTATAGATTACTTTAATATAAGATATAATAACGTAGCTAAAGTTAGTTAGTAGTATACTATAGTTATTAGAGCTATATAGTTACATGCTAGTAGATATAAAACTAGTCTCTTTAGTAATAATAGAGAGAGTTATTTTATTAAAGGCTAAGAGCTATATAGACGCTATTAGCGCTAAGATATAAGAACTATAAGTATTATTAGATTTATATAATAGTTAGTATCTCTATAGAGCTAAAAATATCTAGAAGCTTAAACCTAGAAAAGATAACCTAGAAAAGGTAAGCGTATAAAGTCTATAACTTATAAAAATATATATATAAATCTAATAAAGAGAGTATATATAGTGTTAAGCTTAGATATAAAGATAGATAATAAGCTATTTTCTACTTAATACACTATAGAGAGTAGTAAACAGAAGATAAGCGCTATAACCTATCTAAAGAATCTAAGATTTATAATATATTATAAGTTTTATAAATAAGCTAAGATATAGTTAGCGTATATAATGCTAAGTAACTTCTAATTCTTAATACTTACTAAGTATATAGTAAATAAAGTACTATAAAAGAGTTCTTATATTCTTATACTTACTATATATAGGCGTTTTATTACTTTTCTACGTCTATTCTATAATAGCGCTATCTCTAGTCTTACTCTAGCTACTATAATTCTTTAAGTCTAGGTAGACGTAGTAGATAAGCTAAAGAAAAAGAAGAGAAAATAGAATAAAGAATTTACTTAATTAAAGTAAATAAGAGTAAGAATCTATAGAAACTCTTTTACTAGGCGTAAGAAAGTACTTATACAGAAGGCTTATATTTAGTATTATAATAATACTACCTACGCAGATTTAAGCACGTTTATAGAATATAAGTAAATATATTTTCTATAGCGTTTAGCTATAGTAATCTATTATATAGATTGTAAATATATTAGCTCTACTATAAGAAACCTTAGAAGATAATCTCTATATTATTATATTAAGGTAGAGAAGGTTATATATTATAAATATCTAGCACTAAGAGCTTTACCTAGATTTAATAGTAGCTAAGTAAGCTACTATATACTAACTAATTAAAGACTTACTATCTTCTCTTCTACTATAATAAAGTTTCTTTAGCTTTAGGTAGTGTTAGGCTTATATTATTAGTTAAGAAACTTTAAGTATTTACGCAATACTATTTATAGGTTAGAATATAATAGGTTTACTTATTATTAAAGTTAATAAAATACGCTACTTACTTACTAGGCGTATAATTAGAAAGAGCTTCTTAGCTAAATATTATGTTTTAGCTATACTAGTAGCTATTCTACTCTACTTTTCTTCTTTTTCTTACTAAACTATAAAATTATTCTAGACTTTAGAGCTTATAGTAGTAGCACCTTATATTATATTATAAATATATTACTATTACGTAATAAACGTATAGTAATATCTACTTTTACGCGCTATTATTACTTACTAGCTATATATAGTACTCTACCTCTACTCTCTCTTTAGCCTTAGTAGCTAGTGCCTCTACTATTAGACTAGACTAAATATATATTCTATATAAATAGATTACCTACACCTACGTTTAAAGTGTTAATAAAGTAGTTCTTTATAAACCTTAATTCTAGAGGTACTAGATATATAATACTAGAGGCGTTCTTAAGCTTTATAAAGGTATTACGCTGCCTAGACTCTAATAATATATATAAGTACTCTACTAACTTTAGATAAAAAGCGCTAGTATACCTACGTTGCGTAAGAGTAACTACTAACTCTTTTGTATTTTAATAGTAAAAAAGAGAAGTTTTATAAATAGTAGTATATTTATAAAAGAAGATATAGTAGACTATAAGTTTAAGAATATAATAGAAGGCTTCTTCTTTAATTATAAGATTATAACGCGTAATCTAAGCGCGCTGCAGCTACTATATAGCAGCATATCTCTTCTTAGCTTAGCTAGGTTTATAGATTAGATTAGATTTAGTTACGTAGCGTATTCTAATAGTATTTTTATAGTCTCTAGGTTAAATAACGCGCTATAGGTTTATAATGTCTAGCTAGAGCGTAGGCCTTTACTATAATAGATCTTTCTTCTAAGTTAGCTAATTAAGATATAGTAGCGTATAGATTAAGTAACTTAATATTATAATATAAACGCGTAGTAGAAGCTTAGAGTAATATAGATAGAGGCTAAGATAAAAACGCAGAGCTAATAGTATACTATTAATCTAGTAAGTAATACTTATTAAGTCTATTAGTACTATTAAGATTATAACGTAAGTATACGTAGTATATTTCTTTTCTCTGCAGCTTAAGCTTCTTTCTTCTACGTCTCTAGCTTTATTACTTTAGACCTTTAGCTTCTTTATCTTATATCTTAGGCTCTCTATAATATAGACGCGTAGTAAATTAAATATATTTCTTCTTATTATACTCTAAGCTCTTATATTCTTATTAAGTAGACGTAAGCTTTAATAGTAGTATATATAGCGAAAAAAGTTTCTATAACTAAGTTAGTGTACTATTATATAGCTTTATGTTCTAGTTAACTACGTAATATACTACTACAACACTAGGTAGCTTCTTGTACTACTACACTTTAGCTTTAGGTTAATAACTTATTCTTATCTCTATGTTTTTTATCTTGCAATAATAATAGTAGAATAGAAATACTACTACTACTATAAGTAACGCGTCTACTATAACACTAGCACTAATACTAGCCTTTACACTAGTTAATAAGCTACTACTACTATCTATACTTATTATAGAAATATTAATAGGCTCTATAGGTATAGATATAGATGTTAAAGAAGTTAATAGTACTATACTAGTAGAGCTTAAAACTGTAGTTGTAGATAATATTATTATTAGTATTTATATTAGCGTTAGTAAAGATAATAACTTACTATTTAACGCTATAGTTAAAGATAAAGTAAATATTAATATAGCTTAAGAAGAAGTAGCTAATATAATACCTATTATTGTACCTCTAATATTACTAGCGCCTACTTCTTCTATTAAAAGCATATACTCTATAGAAAGAGACTAGTTATTAAATTGTTAGAATAGATAGATTAGTAATTATGTTTTAGTTCTATTCTAATTAATTACTATACTAAAGCCTTAATTCTATATTAGCAGAGCTGCGACAATAAGAGAGGCTATAGTAGATCTTACTTTCTTTGTTCTCTGCTTTAATATCGCCTTATTTATAGTATTAGATTACGAGTGTATCTACAAAGGTTAACTACTAGTCTACTACTACTAAGTTATTAATATTAAGAACTATATAATACTTCTCGCGCGGATAGTTAAAGGCGCCTAACATGTTTAGATAATTTCGGCGGCTTAAGATAAATAAAGACTAGAGATAGATAAAGAGACGAGTTACACCGAACAGCGGAAAAGTTGTTGTGCACAACTGCTGCTGCTTTGTAGGAGCTAGGAATCTGCCTATCTCTACCTCGCATACTTCTAGCTTTATTACTAGCAAGTCTTTTGCAGCCTCGATCGATAGTGCGCGAATCCCGAGGCGAAGTGGCGTGAGGCTGAGAGCGCAGTGTAGCGATATGGCCTCTATTCCGCAAACTAACGATCGTGCAAGCGAGTTGCTTTTCGCGATAACGAATGGAGAGGAACGCTATGTTGAAGCCACAAGAGACGGCATGCCGTGTTCTCTCGATGCCACAATGTGGAGTGGGTCCCCGATGCAGCACGATGCGGAACATCATGTCGCAGGCCTGGGCACGGTGGTAGAAGTTGGGGCGGTTTCGCGCAACGTCAAGCTGGCATACGCCGTTGATCTATGGATCTGAGTTTCATCACATCGTGAGTCAAGGTGGATTGGCGCAAGGTTCATTTTGGAGTTTTGTTGTTGAGAGGAGCTCAAGATTGCTTCTGCGAGGCTGAGCCGTAGCCGAAGACGCGGGTGGTGGCCACCTCACATGGGCTGCGCCATACACTTGGCATCGTCGCCAATTGGCGGGTTTTGGAAGCACAACGATCCAGACAAGGCTTCTGGGCTTCGCGCTCGAGCCTGGATCTTTTCGAGAGAAACCTTGGGCACGCACGTTGCGGGGGTTGGGAAGTCGGAAATGGTGGTTGGGCAGGGCCGCTGTCGCTTCGTGTGGAGTTCAGACACGCTTCTGAAGACGGGTACAGTCCCAGTCGGGCTGACTACACTTTCCGCTTCCGTTCTCTAGTCATGACCTTCAGAAGGATGCAGGTGGGGCAATTGAAAGAGAGAGTATATAGTGATACTATAACCGCGAAACTGATCAAGATCTCTTGAGAGCGCAGCGCGCAACACTAGCACCGGTCTCGCCCCGAGCACACGCCTATGAAAGCTGCGCCGGTGCCTGCGGTGAAGAGTGAACCTGCGAAATTGTAGCCTCGCTGTACGGCCTTTCGTATCCATTGCTTCCATGAGGCGCGACCGCAACACCCGGGAGCTTGTTGAACTGCTCGGCTTGAGATCGTTAGCTAAGTCGTGCGTTGAGGTCTTTGAGCTTGCGGTGGTTGCGATAGAACAGGTATGCAGCTGCCGCGACAAGCAACGCGTATACACCAATGCCGGCGTCGATGCCAGCCTTCGCTTCTGTAGACAGACCAGCAATGTCGCTTGAATCTGTGGTGACTACTGAACTGGTGGGCGTCACGGTTGGCGGTACTGTATTGCCTGTGTTGACGGGGGTAGATGCCGTACCCGAAGCAGACGCGCTTGTCGTGGTGCGCTCATACGTAACGGTCGACGCCGAAGCAAAGATTGATGCGGGCTGAGTTGCAATAGAGCTCACGGAGATTGAAGCGGCGAAGATTTTGGTGGTCCCGCCCTTCTCAAAGAACTTAAATCCGCAACTAACAGGCTTGCTCCAATCCTTCACGTCCTGCTCTAGTATTGGCAGTGACACCTCTTGAGTGCCATTCTGTGGGATATCGTAATGGTATACTGTCATCTTGTCAGGCCAAACATGATCTTGGCATGTGTTGGGAGTGCCTCACTGTAACCCTTGGGTGAATTAATGTTGCCCTCGTAGTACCAGAACTGCATTCGTTCGGCAAGATAGTAGAAGTCTCCGGGCATGTTGGAGAGGTCTTTGCGCAGCTCGTTTGATACAAGACAGAGTATTGAGGTGCAAAACTAAAGCAGGCAAAACAAGTGAGCAGTCGTCAGCAAGTGCAGGTGGCATACATTTGTACAGAGGCGCAATAAGCCTATCTTCCAGGTATCGTACGTGAAAGTCAGCCTGGCCCGGTTGTTGCGAATCACGATGCGAAGTGGCGCATAGCTGTTGTACCACGCAGCGAAATGGCCCCCGATCGGCGCACTCTTGATGCCCAAGAACGACTCTTGCCCTTCGAACAACCAATAGAATCATCGCCAGGCGCAATGACATGGTCATCCGACCTTTGATCAATCCATTGTCGAGTAGCTACGGGATGTGGACTTCTCTATTGCGGTGCTATCGACTGGCACAGCCTGGTGCGGAAAAGAAAGTCGCGAGCCTTGGACAAAGCTCAGGATAGTTGCAGCATCGTCGCGCGTCATGGAACAGAGCGATAATGACGGTAGATGAGGTGTGGCGACTTGATGGGTTGCGCTCGAAGTATCCTGATGGTGAGATGTCTCGAGTCATCTGGGTTGGCAATAAGTGCACGAACACAGACAAGGCTGATGTCGGCCCAGAAGGCTGAGCTACAGCAGAGGCACCGATTACCTTGCATGCGCTGTACCGCTCGCTGGTCGCCTTTTTCTATCGACGCATCACGCGCGTGAGAAGTAGTTGCGGCAGCTCAAACTAGCCTCAACCGACGTACGTTGAGCGTCCCGCTCTTCAGCTCGTCTGCAATCTCGCCATTCATTTGGCCATGTACAAAGCCCTCGCCGACGGCCTGCCACGCAGATTGCGAGGCCATTTCTCGTAAGACAAGTGGAATGCTGCATCCAAACAGGATAGCCACGACATCGCCGGGTCTTGCGCGACACGGCGCCATGCCAACGTAGCCTTGTTCGGTGACCATCAGCCGGCGCGCCTTCTTTCGCACAGTGTCGTGGAAGCGTGAGAGAAAGGTGTCGAGCTTGTCGTTCATCTGATGTACGGGATGCGACGGTGGCCGATGCAATGTTGGAGGGGGTGAAGTGAACTTGGTGGGTATCTGCCGGACTATGTCTTCGAGCGACAAGTTGCCGAACATCAGATACCGGTTGCGCTCAAACCATGTTGCAAAGCTCCAGTCGACGGGATCGCCGTCAATACAGGCATGACAGAGGAAGAGGAAGTCGCTGATGTAGTGATCCGGCGCCTGGAAGCAAAGGTACTTGTCTCGGCGGTCGATAACCAAGGACCGCGCTATGGCCTCAAGCCACTCGGAAGGCTGCCTTGCGACTCGCCGAGCGCTCTGCTGGTCTTGCCGCGACTGCACCAAAACATGACCGGCCTCGCGGCATACAAAGCTTTCGCACCGCAGTTCCCGCTCGTCAAGCCCACCGAGCCCGTGAATAGTGTCCAGCACGACACCGTTGCAGTGGAGCTCTTTCAGGTCTTCGACAAAGGAAACATCTGCCTCTTTTCTCAGTGTCTCTCCAGGAGCATCGTACATTGCTTTCCAGCGTGTTGATCGCAGCGGTCTGAAGTTTCCAATGTGCTCACACGCACTTTGGCTTGCTATCAGCGGCACAGGCGAAGCGAAGTCAATTGTCGTCCTCCAGTCTGGAGCCCAGGTAGGCACGGGATCTTCGACGCCAGGGTCACTGACCGCAGCGTTAGGACAGAATAGATGCGCAAAGCAGACGATATCCAGGGACTGATGGACGGTCCAGAAAGAACGAACGAGTCGTGCGAATTGGTGCGCAATGCTGGTAGTATATTCAGCAGGTCCGATGAGTGCTCGGTCTTGTTCAGTGATCAAACCTAGCACGGAGTAAATGCGATCTCTACTGTCGGTGGCGGAGTGATTACCCAGGTACGCCATGATGGCGATCAGATTGATGCCGATTGACGCCGGCTTGGTGTGCCATTGATGGATGCGGCGGCGATTGAAGGCTCCGTCAAAGAGCTTCCGCGGAACAAGCTCGTGTTCGAAGTCTTTGCTGATGGTGCTGCAAAGGAAGATGCTATAGATTGCACTTTTGAACCTTCCGCGGCTGATACTACCCACGCCACAGTAGAGTTTCGCCTCTTTTGGCAAGACAAACTCTTGTAACGTCCAGACCCTTGTCCACCATGGCCTGGCGAGCAAATTACTGACGGCGACGCACTTGTTGGTGAACTCAGAGTTCTCGAGCTTCTTGCGCATGGCAAGATCGTCTCCGTTGAACCCGATCTGCAAGGTGGACAGGTAGTGCATGAAGTCGATGGCATCAGTGCAGTCGCTACCACCTTCTTTCTCCTCACCCAGCCAGATTATTGCTCGCCTGGCTCTTTTGTAGATGTCTGCCATGATGCGCACCTGTTTCTCGCGTTCGCTGGCATCATCCAAGTTGATACACAGCGAATCAATCCACCACCAGTCTGTGGCCTTGAAGTCGCCATGGCGGGTGACCATGTGAATAAATGGTACCAGGCTGTTTAATATGGGCAGTCCCCCGGTTTTCAGATTGATCTTTGCACCTTTGTACTTGCGCTCGCCCCACACATAGCTGGCTGTGTAGTAATGAGGCGCGCTGGCGATGGGGAACTTCTGCAGCTTGCCAACGAAGACGCCATCTTCGGGCTGCGAGAACCGGAGAAGCCGAATAGAGCTCTCATCGGCGGGTTCTGAGAAGGGTGAGGCTCTGGCTGGCGGTCGCGCGTCAGCTTCCATAGGTGTGCATGCTGCGTGATGGAAGGTGGGACGGTGCGCATGACCGCGGAATTGGCTGGACTGACGCCCCGCTTCAGCTCATTCTTGGCGGCTGCCCCAAGCTCTCGCACCGAGCCGCGCAACGACATCGCAACCGCGAAACAACGGAACAGCAGCATGAATAGAGTGCACCTTAAACTCAGACTGCGATGTAGTCCTTTGGGCAGGTCATTGATATGGTACTTTGGTATACAGTATGATTGCGATAGTTTTGATGTCCGAAAAAGCGAAACAGCGAAACAGGGCGCGATTCGACTGAGAGCAGTAGAAGCTCGATTGGAAATCTTGCAGCTACATACTATGGCCCTTAAATGTCAAGTACTCCGGTCCATTCGCCCGTTCTCTCAACGTCCTGTAGCGCACTCCTACCGACAACCCAACTCTGTCCCTTGCTCCTATCATACCAGACCCTCAACACCCCATGTTCGGCGACCCAATCGAGACCATACATCTCCTGCATATACTCCACCTGGGCCATGATGCAGAGGTCCGCTAATGTGACGTTTGCGCCATCACCACTCAAACTTTCGCTCTTGTTGCCAACCACGTCTCCTTGTATCCGAGCCTCCAACCGCGACAAGAGCATGTGGAACTTGCCACGCGCATGCTTTGCCGCGCTCTCACTCATCTCGTCCTCCGTCAAGCCCGACCAGGACACCGTGTTCGGATGCGAATGTACAAGCGCGACGTTACTCCAAGTGACGGCATCGGAGAGCAGGCTCAAGATGTCTCTCGTCCGAGCTCGTTGCTGTATGGTTGCGCCCCTCACATCAGGATACCCATTGGCCACGCTGAAGACTTCTTCGAAGTACTCCATCATCGCATTCGACTCGTATATCCAGAAGCTCAAATCATCGGCGTATGTGATGCGCAGTGCCGGCACCGAAGTTCCGGGAGGACGTGCTTCGAGGCCGGGGCGGGGGACGATGTCTGGCGTCGGCGCGTCTTTGTCAAGAAAGAGGGGGATGAGGTGGATGTTCTTCTTGAGAAGCATCGAGGACGTAATGTTCTTTGCGCGGAGGTAGTAGATGATCCGGCGCGGGAACAGGCCCGTCGGCCAGAGCCAGACGGTTGTTTCATGCTGCTGGTTCTGCGACGACATGGTAAGTTGGGAAGGGTGAGCTTGTAGCGTGACCAGACTGATGCGCGTGTCGCATCTTTGGTCTGGCTTCGTGATGCGTATATATACATCCCTACGTGTACAGGATCGTCTGAAGAGACGGAAACTTTTCGTATACCTCTAGAATCATGCCGACGTTGAGCCATCTCGAGGGCTGGTTACTGTAATGTTTCCGAAGGTTTCCCACCGCGACGCATCATCCCGGAGACTTGATCAACTCGCCGGGTGCTGGTGTGAAATGATGTCTTCCGAGCAAGGCCATCATAGTGTCCGAATTCTCTTCGGCCGATACCGCAACAGGATGGGCAAATGCGAAAGTCTCACGGCCAGCATCGGAATGCGCACAGGTGGTGGATTGAGTGCAGGAGGTTAGACGGACGGCGCGCGAAAGCTCGGGCAAGGGCGGTCGAACTCGCCACGCGCTAATCCTTGGCGGCCATCATCACGACCGCCCGACCGCAGCAACACCAGCATCACAACACTCCATTGTGGTCAGGCAGATCGTATGTTCGACGCGCCCTCCTCTTCCTCATCCAGTGCTTCCTGAAGGCGCGCGATGCATCGAGCTTCATGTCAGCGGTCGCTTCATCATTCCTGCGCAATGTTCCTTATCGTGCCAATTCGATCTCTAATCCATTCGTGCTACATGTACACCAACATCCATGGATGATGTCATGGTCAGTAGGTGTATCGCTACTCTACACGTCTGCTCAATCCCACTCACACATAAGCCAACCCCTCCAAATCAATCTCCTCCCTCCTCCGTCTAAATCTCAGCCTATTCCCTTTCCACAGCGCCTCCGTCTCGCCAAACAAGAACCTCGATTCCAGATCCGTCCCCTCAGCCAACTGCCAATCGTACTTGAGCAGCAAATGGCACAGGGCGATTTTCATCTCATTCGCAGCGAAGAACCTGCCGGGGCAGCCTTGTGCGCCATGTCCAAATGACAGGTTATTGGGACCGGTGGAAACGAGATGCGACTGGCTGACTGTGGCGCGGTCGGTGCTGGCGCGCATGCGCTGGTAGCGGTATATGTCGTATTTGTGTGGGTCGGGATAGACGGTGGGGTCAGACATGTTGAAGCCGTCGACGGCGATCTGCTCGCCTTTTTTTATGACGAGGCCGTTGGGGAGGACGACGGTGCGCCGGGCTTGACGACGCATTGTTACTGGGGTAGGGTCAGCTTGGAGTTCTTTCACTTCATCGACTGGACGACTTACGGAATGCAGCGGGCCTATACCGCTGCGACTCCTTCAACGCGCTGTCCATCAACGTGAGGTTTGCGAGCGCCGCTTTGGTCAGCCCGTCGGCTGTTAGTACCCTCACGATTTCCTCCCTTAATGCCGCGACGTAGTGTGGTTCGTTTGCCAGCAAGGTTATAGCATGCGTTAGCAGCTCACTGGTCGTATGTATCGCTACAAACGATAGCGCAATCTGGAACAGAGCTGGATCGTACCCTTTCCCGCCGCTCTTCTGCTCGAACCAATCGATCATGTCGTTGAAGACAGGTTCCGGTTTGCCGTTTCTACTAGCTTCGGCTTTCAGAGCTCGACGCTGGGCCAGAAGAGGTGTGAGGATTGCGCGGCATGTGGCTCCGTGTTTAAAGACGTTCTTTGCCTCGGAGGAGAACCAGGGAACGAGGAACTTGAGCGAGGATGGGAGGGCTGTCATTTTGAGAATCATGGTGAAGCTTGCTACCGTGTAGGCCTTGGAAGCTTCGAGCCACGCCGTGTTGCGGCACATGGTGTCGCCGAGAAAGACCCTTGTGGAGAGACGGGCGATCAGTTGGAGAATGCTGTCTGCTATAACGGTTTCTCTCCATTCTTCTCGGTGGTTAGCTCGTATCACTTATCCGAGACGAATGACGGAGTCATCTCACCCGTATCTTGACCGAATATCGCATTGAGAGCATGACTTGCTTCTTCCGAGAGGGGCTTTGTTAAGACGTCTTGAAGAGCCTTGTTAGCTTCGTGTCATGCGCGTAGTTGGTTGCTTCGTACTTAGGTATTTAGTAAGTTGGTCCTTCACAACGTTTTGTACAAGTCTTTGCTCGTGGAGCAAGACGGCATACATTTCGAAGCCAGAGACATTTCCCGAGAAGTTCTTTTCTATTGCCTTTGCGAAGCTAAGATCCATGCTGTTACGGATCGTTGCTGCATACTCAGGAGGCAGGATAAGACATTCGCCCGTGTCAACAATCAACCTGTAGGGCTGCTTGCCGTAGCGTTTCCTCGCGTCGCTCAGTATGGCCCTTCCGTTCATGAGAAATTCAATCCGTTTTGAAAGGGTGGTCTGGTTCCATCGCGGAGGATTTGCTAGCGGATGTTTCGGTTTTCCGCTGGTACTAACGACGATCGAGAGTACGACCACAACGCCCAGTAAGATGGCTGTGCTTGCTGCGAAAGGCTGCGCAAGTGCATCTAGGGGTAGTTCTGACGTAGCATATGGGACTCGTACTAGTCCGGGAATCGACGTGTTGGATAGCATCTTGACTGCATGAACTGTGAACGCTTGGGCTGCCCAGTGCGTGAAAGGACGCACATCCAGGAGACTTATACGGCAGTCTGTGTCCAAAGGCGCTGGCAACTCGCGATCCGAGAAACGCTGATCTGATCCTTAAAGAAAAGTCTTCATCTCGATAAGCTTGGTGGGCTCCCGTCCGACAACGTCCTCAGTCCTGAGCGTATCCGTGACTTCATTGCAGACTGGCCCTAGTCGTGCGTCCACTTTCGACGCTGTAATCATCCACTTTGAATGCTGCATCAACCCACTGTGGATGCTGTATCGACTCAGTTTGAACGCTGTATTATCCCACTTTGGACGATGTGTGAACCCACTCATGAGTCGTAGTCCACGAGAATGATAGCCTCTTGGATCCTACGATCCACTGTGAATGATGTATGAATCCACTGTGAACGTTGTATCAAGCCAGGTTGGACGGTATAGTAACCCATTTCGGACGCTGTGTGAACCCACTCATGAGTCGTAGTCCACGAGAGCGATAACCTCTTCATTCAAACGAAACACCATGATCCTAAGACTTCTGCTTATACCTGTATTGTATGAGTTATACATGCCGTGCGCATTATCTTCTTCTGTTCTGTTACGATGATGCAAACCGACTGTAGCCATCTGCAACTTCTACAATACCTTCAAGGTCGTGATGTAGATGTGAAGGATTTCTCAGATCGTCAAAACGGAAGGTCAAACGATGCCCCATCGTTCTGAATCCTACGTCATAGACCACACCAGCAAACCCCCTTTTCTTTTTTCGTGGTTGCGAAATGCACCGAGAAGTATTCACCGTTGCGATAAAGGTGGAGCCATAGTGGGGACCAGGACACCATAACAGCGTGTGCGGAACCTGCTGACTGACTTGGTCCAATGAGATCGTAGCAAATTTGAAATGCGCATAAATTATCTGCATTTTCGCTCGCGCTTTCATGCGATCGCAATTCTGTGAACTTTTCAGCACCACCCTGCACCGTTGGATAGAGACGTGTTGGAGGAGGCGCGTAACGCGGCGCTAGCACGCGAGTGCCACTTTTCTCATGACCTCCCAACCCAAACACAGACACGCATTCACAGCAGGTATCTTCTATCTCTGATCACGCGCGGACCAGATATTGGAGGTATACATCAGGCGTTCAACATCTACCCTTCACTATAGTCCTTGACATGGAATACCTACCTGCGTTATTCCCGTTCTGTGATGCTATACAGCACGCCTTCGCTATACCTCCTTCTTATGACACAGAACGTCTCGGATAACAATTATGGTGTCGTTTGCGCGTCTCGATTACACTGCGCTTCCCCCTGGAGTTCCCAGTACCGCGTCAAGCGGAGGAAGAATCCTGCACAACGATCCACACACGTCCCACTGTGGTATAGACTCCAGGTTCAGGTATAAGAAACCAACCCTGTCAAAAGCACGAGTAGAAAACATCATATCGCATTAAGCCTATCTCAACAGCTATGAAAATGACCCCCAAAGCACGCACGATATTAGACGGGCCCATACACCCTGACGAACAAATACTCAACACGATACATGATCTCTTGTCCTCCTCGGCATTGCATTCCTCGATTATATCGAACTGGCCCATAAGCTCATCTCATTCATTCCGCTTAGTACATTGGGTCGCCAACGGCTGTGATAGATGCGGTGCATACACCATTCTGGCAGTATCCGGCGGGCGTAAGCCAGCCCCACAGTTCTAGTCAAAGTTAGCGTCGAGCTGTGATGTGAGGATGGATGAAGACCTACCAACTGACTGTCCATTCTGGAAGATGGCATTGGCCGCACCCGAGATCGTCGCAGAGCAGACTTGTGTACCGCTGAGCTGATCGCAGGTGATGATGAAAGGAGCCGTCGCGCTCAACGGAGCACTGGCAGCACCATAGCAGCGGCCTCCGTCGCACCATGCTGCAACGCTAGTGTTCGTGCCGTAGTTGTTGCCATCAACAAGGAGGTTGCTGATTGTACCAGCTACGGTGATGTTGCACTTGTATGAAGAGTCACATGCACCAGACACTGTGACACTTTGTTAGTCGATTGAATGGCTTGTGGGTAGAATGGAGCACTTACTGAGGCCATAGGCAGCACCAAGAACGCCAGAGAAGGCTTTGTCGATCACGCCCGGCATCGCGGGGAGGTTGTCGAGCGTGAGCTTGCCTTGTCCCTGGACTGGAGCGGAGAAGGTGGACGGCAGAGCAGTGGAAGCTGTAGCTGGAGCGGAAGTGGGCGCCGCAGTGATGGTAGCTACCGATGAGGCCTTGACAGATGAAGCTCCCAGGCTAACGTCGACGGCCAACAAGGTCGAAGACGAGACCTTGACTCCCAAAAGAGGTGAGGACGATCCACCGACATTGACACCAAGCAGAGGTGCGGTACCCGTAGTTGTGGCGGCTGCGCTGCTGGCCTTCGAAGTGATGACTGAGCTGGCAGCGCTGCTGACCTTAGAGACGATGGCAGAGCTGC